ATAATTCCGTCTAAAGATTTAAAAAAATAAAATCATTTTATTGCCGACGATTTCCACCGACCAGTAGCTTGTCCGCTCAAGGCATCACTTTCTAAGGAGAATCGAAACATAGTCTGACCATAATTTTAAATTTACAAATGTTCTCCTCGTTACAAATAAACTTAGCATATGCTTGCTTTCATTGTTATCATTTTTCATCATCCTACAAAGATAAATCTCCCGAAATCCCCTGGCTCTGTTAGTTGAAGTCGCTTTTTAGTTTAAGATTTGCGTACTCTATCTACTATGTGAAGGAATGCAAGAGCACTTTTATTTCTGATCGAATACCTGATTGGACGAGACTCAGAAAAGCGCGAGCTTTTGGTTGATTTAAAGATAACATTGTTGTGACGACGGTATAACATTATAACCGACTGACCGCTTGAGTTTGAATAATAATACCATGTCTCATGTGGTGGTATATTTTCTTCTCTTCCAATGTAGTAAATTATTTTTTTTTCCACATTTTCCCCCCTAGGAAACGGTAAGAATGCAGTCGTGACCAGCGTGGCGCGTGAACGTGCATTTACCACTCGAGAGCCACCGCCACGCCGTGACCTCCACTTGTCATTTTTCTGTTCTGCGACCATCTATCGTGACCTCAAGTACATCGATATGCGTGCTGTTATATAGGTACTTGCTTACATTTAATATTCAAGAAAATACAAATCGCTAATGTTCGAAGACATTGTTTGTGAGTTCCTATTACTGCCGGGTCGTTTCGTTGTTCGTACCTCTGGCATTTATAAAGGAATGCACTGGCCGTGCATAGTTTGTGGTTAGCCGGTATCAGGTTATCCCAAACATTGTAATAATACAATATTATACCTATAGATTAGCCATTCTATTGTTAAATACATATATAGGTATATGCCAACATGCATTCAATAGAATAGTGTTTATAGGGATGTGGGTACGTCTCGAGTCTCTCTGACATTCACCCTACTTGAACTCATGTTAGCCCCTATTATTTCTAACCATATCCTAATACCATGGAAGACTTTAGAACCCTTTGTTTTTTTATTTAACGATAAGAATTTAAATGATTAAAACCAAATTGTGATTTGAGTGTCGTATAAATCTCTCTCTACACTGCCTAATCGCTACTCTGTCTTTATCGCTCCACCATGAAAAAAAGTGGTTTTCTTAATATTATAATAAGTTAACGATTTGTACAAAACAGACAACATGGTGATACATCAGAGAATTTCCCCCGTCGGTGACCCAGTTGACAGAGTTCGGTAGGTGTCGGATTGGTACCTGCTTGCCTACGCTCGTTGTAATGCAATAATATTACTGTCTTCCTGCATTCAAACGCAACTCATTAGCATTGTGATCATTTATCGTTGTTCTCTGCGTGCAGGTACTCCGCACATAACCCGTAGCCCGATTTAATACCGGCCAAATGTGGATTGGTTCTATTTGCGTGTTTTGACCGTATTTTACACATTGGCCGCCATTTTAATAATAAATACCGCGAAGAATGGGTCGTTTGATTTTTGCGAGTTTAAGGGTGAATACAGAAACACCACGAAACGTTCACGTATTACATTACCTAAAAACAATTATTGTTATGCTAACCAAATTATTATTTAGGCGGCGGCCTTTCCCTCGGCGTATAAGAAAATATCGTAAATAGATAATAATATTTAGCCGTTTAAATACTAGTGGTTTTTAAAAAAATGATACATCGAGGCGGTATGTGATCACGAAGTGTTGTTCGTGGGCGGTACCGTTGAATATAATAGCGCGTATGGTAGTAATTTAATTTCAGGACTGGATTTTTCTCTTCTTTTCTCGCCGAACAGGTGTAATAGACGCGTATCTGTGACCCTCATGTAAGACAGCGACGGTGGCGGTGTGGGTATATATTGGCGCCAACCGACAATGACCCCTCGAGCCCTCTTCTCCGCACACGCACATCTCTATTGTGCGTATCGAGTTTTGATTTTTAACGCGCCGAGAGGTGTATTATACATGTATGATACTACATGTATACAATCGTATTATTACACACATAGGTACAAGCTAGGCGTATTCGTCGTTTCAACCACATAGACAAATTGTTAAGAAACGGTCTCTTTCGCACTTGGCCGGCATAAACACATCCAGTGTGGAAAATTGACTAGGTATAGGTATATCCTAAAACTACGAAAGGAATAATGATATTTTTTGCAAAGACCTTTTACCTACATTAGACGAGCATTCCACAGCCAATATGTTTCATCAAATACATGACACACCAGTCTTAGTAGTTCCATATTTACATACAGCATGCAGTTCCCAATTAATTTCTCTTTTATTCTATTCTAACCCTCTGACGTTCTCATTAATTTATATTTCTTCGTCCTAAATTAAGTTAAATCCGTTTTCCTAGCTCGAAGATATTTAATCAAGTACCGCTTCTTTACCCGCGGTTTATGGTCTCGACACCATAAGGGCATATTCCGTATTTACACCTTTGCTCTCATACAGTTATGGTAAGAACATTTGTAATTTATGATACAAACGACGACGCTCTCCAATATTATTATGGCCGATATTGAGCATAATGTATTTTGTTTATGTACAAAAAGTATAAAATTTCGTATCGCCAAGTTACATGAAATTGCACTAGACGTACCTCTACATGGAACTCCATAAGGAACGCTGGTTATCTATTAGCCGTATCATTTATAGTTGTTATACGGAACCCGGCCGTGCCCAAGCTCTGCGTCGTGCAGTCAATACATATAATATGTTGTGTGTACATATTACGGCTCCCGAACTGATACACGCATGAGATATTATGTGCAGTGTCTGCAGCGTGTATAATATGCTATATATGTATATGTATATGTGGCCGTGTGTATATTATAGAAATCCAAGACCGAGAAAAGACCATTGTATGGGTCAACAATATACACCTAGTAGGGGCTGGTTGTTATACCGGCGGCATCGGCAGCGAAGGAGAAGGAGAGAAAAAAAGCCAAACCTCGCAAGATAGGACAATGGAACCGGTATATCATGGCTCCTACCCCCGCACACACATGCATACGCACTTGTCACGTGTTATTGTTATTTATAACAATAATAGTAACGACCGGCATTGTGTTTAAATCTATAAGAGTATGTACACCAGTATGTTTCCCTCTCGAAAACACAATAAGAAGAATAATAATATACATAAACACATCTTAAAGTTTGGGCCACGCTCATGGTTTACCGCAAGCTCTTCCGGCGCGGATAGAAAAAAAATTTAATGTTGAGTTTCAGTTGACTTTTGACGACTCCGGCTTTTAATTTTAACCAATGAGTTAAAGAAATAAGGGTATAAAAAAAAGCCGAAGGCTTATTAATAATATAATATTGTATAATCTTAAGCATATTTTGTTATTTCAGTAAGTACTAAAATAAAACCTAAGCATTTTTATTTTTAGCTACCTGTGGAACGCTTTAAAACATGAAAGTAAATTATTCGAACATTGATAATATGCATTTTGTGACATTTGTAGAACATTTTGTTTTGGAGAATTTATTAGATGTATTGCAATTTGCAATACATTTTTTAACTGATACATGATATAAACAGGTTGATCGAGGTGATTCAATAATGGCGTTAGATGTAGATTCGCGTGTACCACGTAGGTACCCTGAACTGTAAGAAAGCAGCCGTTGTTCGCGGAGACTTTAACGACCGTCGACAAAGATTATATAGACAAGTTTATAAACAAACGCTCACACAGGCGCCGGGCCGCTGTGTCTGCATGTTGCAGTGAAAATGTAAAAAAAACGCCTACTGTTACTTTCAGGTTTTATATTATAGTAGTGATTCGCGTTGATAGTGTATTTGGAGGGAATATTCCAAATTTGGAGGATGGAAAAAAATAATAATAAATAAAAGAAAACAACATAATCTTAAGTTGAGATAATACGGTACGTGTGTAGCAGGTCGCCAGCATTAAATAGGCCTTGCCCGAGTATAATGTATCTATATAATATTGTATAATAGTGCGTGTATGTGTGTGTGTGTGTGTGTGCTACCTCCACAAAACGCCTACCTTCGTAAGAAAGGCAGTGCAACATGTGTGAGTGTGTGTGCATCGTGAAATAATTACAATATATCAACGAGTATGCTTTTATATATTTATATGCATATTACACTCAAAACCGATAGTATGATTGCAAGAAGTAGGGAAACACTTTGATGGTTGTATTCGCATGTATAGTCGTTATAAACGGGAACGGGGAAAATAATATGCGCGTTTACGCGGACTATTCAATTTTAATAAAATTACAGCCTTCAGTAATGTATTAGCCATCGCGTACGATCATATACTTCAGAACATCATATTGTACAACCGTATGCCCGATTCGGCCTTTAGTTAAATGTGTACTTAATTTTATTCGAAATGGGCAAAACAAAGATGAGAGGCTATTGATACCAACGTGGAACAGGAAAAGCGAAACGAAGAGAATGCGCACTTCGATAACGAAGACACTCGAAAGGCGATAGGAAAACACTCGAAACATGTGTAACCGTTGTCGTACTAATCTACATTTGAAGTATTCTAATCAACTTTAAAAACTTGACAAAAATTAACAACATCTGTTTATATATTACGACTGTTACCTACACCCGGATTTATACCATGGCCCATAAAATGTCAGGACTGAGGTCAGCATTCAAGGGTAGTCGTTTCTACTCAACGATAGGGCATTTGTCGATAAGAATAAATATTATTCAAATGATTATACTAACTAATATCTATAATTCAATTCTAGTCCGCCCAAGTGCATAGAGCTAAAACGCGTCTTATTAATTGGTATCGATTTGTTTATCTCTGTGTAACGTAATACTAACGATTTTGCAGTGGCGCTAAAACAAAACATTTAACACCCCCAATGCTCATACGTTGGTCACAATTCGTTGTTGTCTAAAGTCTCGGTACCGAGTAAAAATTACATTTCTTCGGACTTACCAGTCGGTCGGTCGGTTCATGGCGTTTCACCAACGGTTAGGGTGGTCCACGTGGATGTAATAATCACTATCGCTTATTGTTTTTCGACAAGCAAAACCGATACTCGTGTACACCGTTTGACATTACACACAGTCACACGTACAGAATAAAAACAATATATATAATTATCAAGTAGATAAATAAAAAAATATATACGGGAACGCGAACGCTGTACGTACAAGGACACGCCGGCGGTTCGGGTGGCGGACACAGACTAAAGACTAGTGGAAGGTAACAGCATCAACGCGGTCAAAAGAGGCTGAGGCGGTGGATTGGTCGGACGGGGCACGCGTTGGTGGGCACCGACAACCAGAGTGAGAGAGAGAGAGATAAACCTTACCGACCGAGACACCGTCCTATACCTATACAGTGTATTATAACCATCGACTATAATATTATATACAGCGCATAAGTGTGTGTGTGTGTGTGTGTATACTTACAAACATTACCACCAGGTATGTGCCCAGCCAGGTAAGCGGCGTGCGGCGCATGTGTGCGTGCGTCGAGGCGTTAGTGGTGGGTGTATTAATATTATAACGGGCGAACTCGGTCGAGTGTTTTCGTTTTCTACAGTTCAGACTCGCAATAGTAGTTATAATAATATACACTATAATAATATTATGTGTGTGTGTTGTTATCTTTTTCTTTCTGGGTGTAAAAAAACCAAACCGTTACCGATACAAGCCGCAAGAGACGCGTGCCCCTCTTGTCGTCGTCGTCTCTCTGTTTTCAGCTTCCCGGTAGTCTGGTGTTGTGTGTATATACACTCGACTGGGTAAATGTCAATAGCATATAAACGACAGGTTGTCGTTTTGAATTTTATTAAGTAAATACAATAATACTAATATTAATGATAATGATAACAGTAATAGTAACCCCGAGGGAGATGCGATAAGGACGGTTGCTTGTGACGAACATGATATTTACAGAGCGATTTCTTGATAAACCCTACTTTGTTTTTCAGATCATCGACAAGTATACAGATTTTCTATATTAAGGAATGTCGATTGCACGGCAACCGTTTTAGGATGAGAAAATATAATATTATATTGCACGACGCCCAACAGAAGAGCTTGAAATAAAAAAAATACAAGGTATTTTTGTATGTATAAGTAATATTAGATATACTGATTTAATATATTATTGGATGTACAAATTATCACCTTGTATACGCTTTCAAACGCGATGTTTATAAACTTATAATTATAGATATAGGCGTTGATAGTGGACCGGATTAAAAAAACACTTTGCGGCCAGTAGATATATAATATACAAATATTTTGCGGGCATACTCCATCAAGCGAAGTGAAACTTATAATAATGTTTTTTTTAATGTTAACTCACCTAACGCTAAAAACTTAAGTTTTTGCTAAATAAGTTGCTAACTACACTAGTGACGCGAACTAAAACGATTTAGGGGTACCATTAGTAACTTTTCTCTAAAAAATAACGGGAACTTATTAAAAAAAATGTATTAGTAAAAAATTATTTTAGTGTGTCAGTCAATTATGGGTTTAAAATTTATCACGATTTTCCGTGTAGTGTGAATCGTGACTATAAAATATTTGAGACACTGACAATGTTTTTTGGTTATTCATTATTATTCCATACTCACTTAATATATTAAAACTAAAATTGTTTAAATTGTTATTAAGCATTAAATTTAAAACATTACTATAATAAGAGCACTGTATACTATGAACTAACAAAATCCGCAAAATCCAGTTATAATAAACATATTTTAATTAAAAAAAAAAAAAATCATTATCTATTTACTAAGTACTTGTTAAATGCAAAAGTAGTAAAAAAAGTATAAAAACTATTTTTCATCATAACATGAGAGAGCTATATTTATTTGCGTAGTTTATTTCAACGTGAAAATCGGTTTTCTTCTTATTTTTTCTTATTCCAACCGAGTCGGTTCATTGATCCAATTCCTCTCATTCACATTCCACGTCACTTATTATTAATTTTCTTTTTTGTATTTAATAATGTTTCATATACTAAACGACTAAAAACCGAATTTCAAGTAATATCTTTTTTTCAGTGCAGCTTCTAATTTTGAATTTTGTTTCATTGTATACTAATCTCAAATCCCGGATCCAAGCATTTTCCCGAGGTGGTTTGAACATGCAGTGTAATACCGTTTTACGATCTAGCAAGTCTACTGGTCGACTACAAATTACAATGAACTCCCGCACCCCAGTCTACTAATAATATTAAAATACTTAAGCAAAACATATGTCATGCGGCAATGTAGGACTACAATTTCTAATGAACTAACCAAAAAAAAAATATCTAACCGCAAAAACATGCAGTTATGTCTAAAGCGATCGAGAAGTCCGCATTACATTTTAAGGGGGCTCCATACAGACCATTTTTTCAGTCAAAACACATCATTTTTATTCCATCGCACAGGCCTAACCAGTGATCCGATAAGCAATCTAAAAACAGATTTGAATACGTCATGAAGTTTACTTAGGATCGGTCGAGGTACTTTTTTCAATTTTTAATTTCAACCATTTCTAAATTTTATTTTAAAATGTTGAAATTTTATAAAATGTTCAATCGTGTTTTATACATAGTAGGAATAAGATATCAAAAAAGTACGTCGACCGATCTCAAGTAAATTTCATGACGAATTCAAATCTGTTTTTTCATATTACTTATCAGATCATTGGTTGCGATGGAACAAAAATTGTATGTTATATTGACTAAAATGGCTTTTACTCATAAACAAAAAATAATTTAAATTAAAAATAATACCTTGAAGCTTATACAAATTAACCGGTAAATTTATTGACATGGTCGACATTTATTTAAGCCAATTTTTTCTTAAATATTGCCTTTACAAAACTCCTTAAAAATGGTCTGTATGGAGCCCCCTTAACGCAAAACATTTTGATTTTCTGCGTTTTCGAAAAAACTCGATTTAGCACGACTTTTGCATGGACCTTTAATTAAACGTTTCGGCTTGTTTAGCGCTCGACCAATTTTAATTGTCATCGTCGAGTGTGTCCGCCGAATAGTGCATAGAAAAAACCATCTCGGTTGATCATACGCGGTTTATAATATATTATATTATATATTATATATATATAAACCGCGTATGATCAACCGAGATGGTTTTTTCTATGCACTATTCGGCGGACACACTCGACGATGACAATTAAAATTGGTCGAGCGCTAAACAAGCCGAAACGTTTAATAATGAGGTCTGCCGGCTCGTGATGACTGATGAACGTTAAGTCCGCCATCCCGTCAGTCGTCAACCGTCTTTGTGCATACATATATACACACTTGTCAGCATTCCTATGATCTAGTGTGCCCCGAGCCGACACTATATAATACACAAGACCGCCGTCGTCGGTACATGAAATATCAATAACTAATAATTGACGTGCGTTGTACATTCGTGTATGTGTATATGTATAATTTTTAATTAGATGCTAATCGGATTAAACGAGTTGTTGGTCGTACACCAGGGTAATACATGTAATGTGCTTTTATGGCCTGGATATTTTAACAGCGGCTCGGCGGCGGCGCAGTTGTCGGTTGAATATTCTCCATCGCCGCGTTTTAATCTGCAGATATAGGCGCGCATTCTTGAACCGCCCACAAAAAACTGAATGTTTTATTTTTCTTCCAATGGGTACGATGCGTATAATGTTTGAACTATTTCTATTCTGTCAAAACGCAAGCATACATTTGAAGTTCATAACCTGAACAGCGTTACAAGCGTAAAAATAATTATTACCGAGTATATGCCATGATTTAAATATACAAGGTATATTGCACATGTACCTACCCTTTCTTCACCAAACATTTGATGTTAAGAACAAATATGTCAGCGTAAAGGGAACCTAATCAAAACCAAGTGCCAATAAGTACACAGTAAAATCCGATTAAAATATATACTAAAGTATATAATACAACAATTTATGCCCCCTTACGCTATCATTTTGTTTTTGAAGATAATTTGAGACAATGTGCAATGACCTGTAAATTTCAACCATGCTTTAAATGTTAACGACAACATATTTTTGCATGTTATAGTTCTTTACCTGGTTTTATCGAAGATCCGTAGTGCTCTCTAGTTAATTTACAGAACATTTTGCAGATTAGAATTGAACTCACTTGGACTCACATATAAGAGTGTATGCAAAGAGATATGGAAGGTTGGCATAAACAGAAAACAAATTATCGTTTGTAACTCACCTGAAAAAAAAAAATATTTCTGGGTTAGTTATTTAATTTAAAAAAAAAAACCCAGCATAGTAGTGGGGTCGGAGCAATAATGGCGACAGAGAGGTCACAAGTCTTAATTGTTATAATTGAGAGTGATTCAAACCAATGATTCGATGCGAAATTACAGATGGCTAAAACTATTTAACATTAATATGTCATTTAAAAAATAAATAATACAAGTTTGTAATTTTTTTTTTAGTTTTCCGCAATGGAAAATGCAAAACTACATATTTATAATATGGTAACTACTATACGTATTTTTGAAGGTTTTGATTTGTGAGAACCATAATGTCCAAAATCAAATTTTTCAGGAGACAATAAAACCTTTCTTTTTATAAAAAAACATTTTATAGTAATTTTAATTTAAATAAAACTTAATATTTACTCAAATATAATTTTTTTTTAAGAATTTTTTTGTAAAAAAAACACTAAAATTTAAAAATACAAATTATATTTTCAGTATTAAAGGGGGGGAGGGGTACAATTACGTTTGATCGTCTTTCTTTCTATTTTATTTAATATTTCATAAAAGTATGTACTTTTTAAATGGGTGTTGTTTTTTTCGATTTTAAAGGTACTGGTACAACTTCTGATCTAAGGACTTGCTACATAAATATTTGGGTTCTGTGGTAGATGTAAAAAAATAAAATGTATTGGATTTTATCAAACCCATATATTAGCTACTAACTAATTTTGAATTCAGTCATTTTAAATATTTGCTCATCCTTTATGTACATTGTAAAAAATACTTAACCCATAAAATATGTCTCTGTTATCTTTAACGATTTTCGGACAAATCGAAATTAATGACTTTTTGTAGCATTGCATCAAAGCAAATCTGGTGAAGTAAAAGATAACATAGGTTATGTTTTTTTTTATAGAATATCAAAATCTAAGGTTTCAACGGATGTTGTTTTTTAAACCTTATAAGTAGAGAACATTATACCATTAATACATCCCCTCTTTTATTCTTTAAATGGCATAAAAAAACAGTATTTTTCATATTTTTTTAAAAATATTACTATAATACAAAACTGTATCGAATCATAATCTTATTATTTAAATATTGTGTTGAAACATGGTCGTTTGAC